TCGGTATAAACCGGGGCGCAGCGTGACGCTTTTGCACGGTGGGGTTAAACGCGGCCACAGCGCTGGGCACATGTTTTTAGAAGCAATAGCGGCGACTTCGCCGTGGCGGATGATTTACGAATGAAGCACCGGCGCGTTAGGGCCCGAATTTGTGCGTGGCGACAAAGGAGAAAAAAGATAGAGAGAGAGAAAGAGAGGAGGGGAAGAAAGGAGGAGGAAAAAAGAGGAACGCGCGCAGTACAAGCGGAATATTGCTTCCTCGGCGCGCCTTAATCGTACGCGAACACCGCCTGGCCGTAATCGGCCGAGGCTGGATCGGTAATAATCCCCCGCGATTCATGTGGGTTTAAGGGTCAATCGATAAGCAGCGCAAATATTGACACCGGCTTTTATCACGGCGCGCGCAAATCTTTAGGCCGTGATTTTCCCCGACGCCGCTTATTAGTCGACGACACTCGCAAAGGTGGCGGTTTTCCCGCGGCGTATTTAGCGTTAAAAGTTTAACGACTGCCCGACTCCGCGCGCGGCCCGGTGTGTTGACACTCGACTCGTTGATACCCACGGTATTAGAGAGCGGCTCGGAATAACGCGGCTAAATTTAGCGCGTAAACGAATCAAAGTGAAGATAAAGATACGGATCAAAGGGGACGGAAATGTATCGTAAAGTTCCGCGTCTAATGAGGTCAGCGTTGCGGACAACTGCCCTTTATCGCCCCCTCTCCCCCGATGTAGCCGGACGCGGTGCGTACGTAAATGAAAGTTGCCCGGATAACGCGAGATACGATCGACGGATACGATCGCGTCCGACGCGCGACCTTAAAGGACACCTTTCCTCGCTTCGTTCGTTAAACGTCGTACCTTTATGCGTCGGGACCGTCATTAATTCGCGGGCGATACGTGCACGTAGCGTGGCGATGTTGGATATAATTGACCCTTCGCTAATCGTATCCACGATCCGATTATAATTAACCTCTCCCATACTTTCCGGGTACATTTCTGAATATAAAGTATACTTATAGAAGAAGGAAAGAAGAAGAAAGTTAAATTGGGTATAATACGCGACTGCTGGGATCTCCGTTTTCCGCCTTCTCGTATTCCGCCGGGAATTCGTGGCGCTCGTATCCGATGAAGGGTTAACGAACGCGGAATTTTCGTGGCGTAAACCCGCGAGGGTCGAGGGCGCGCGCGTGTAGTCGCCGCCACTCGGCTAAGATCGATTGTCGTACTGCGACACTAGTGTTGAAATTGGCATAACTTGGCGGTTTGCGCTCCCCGGCCGGCGTTCAGATCGAACTTCGGGTCTCCTTCCGGTTTTCCCTCAATGAGAATAACGATGACTTGCTTCGAATGAGTACCCGTAAATATCGCACATGCACCCGAGATCCGCGGGTTCGACGACGTAGCGTAAGAGCGTTATTAGAATTCATAGTTGTAAATTGCGGTTATATTGATAATTGACGTGCTGTTAACACCCGAGAGCGTGGAAACGCAACCCCGCATTTAATTACCGAGTTAAGAGCACGAACAGTGGCTTTCGCCGCGCGCGATGGGAATGCTGTGTCCGTCTCTCTCGCAATTATACGGTGGTTACGCGTAGAAATTGCGGTTATTGATGACTTACGATTATTGAGATTGCCGGATTGTCGGAAGGAAATACAAACATCACCGACTTGCGTTGCACTTCTAATTGCAATGGCGAGTGTGTCGGTAATTGAGATGTATCATTAAATATTCCGACAATCTGCAATTATTGCTCATAGCAATAATCGGAGAACAACTCGCACTGCGCGTATTTGCGGCATAAATTCAGCGTAATAATATACGCGCGCTCGAGAATCGTCTGATATATTATATTACATAATAATATAATATGTGAAAAAAAGGGGAAAGAGAAGAAGTTGAACCGTGTGTCATCGAAGTCAATGTACGCCGGCGGGCGAGCCCTACTTCCTGAAAACGTGTTAAGGGCTCGATGAAGACTTCGTGTATGCACATGAAGACATACTTCGAGCAGCCTATAATTTGCCCTTTTTTTCATTGTCTCTCTCTTTCGTGTCCGGAGGAAGTGACGAGGTATGGGGGAAGAAGCCACACGTGTAAAACGCGGCTCGCCACGCGGCCCGCATGACACACACATACACACGCATTATAGTTCCAGTTCTTATGATACTAATTCCATTCTTAGCAACACTTACCGATTACATATCATACGAGACACGCGGGATTTTGTGTCTCTCTTGCGGGAAGTGAGTCGCGGAGAAGGTACGTGCGCGCGCGGCGTTGTTATTCAATGCGCGCTGAGACGACCACGCGGGGCTTCTACGTTTACACGCGTCCCGATACGCATCTGGCCGCGTCGAAAAATCGCGAATAAACCGCGACCGAAGGAAAACTGGCCATCGTGAAGGAAGCGGAGAGCCTGTTGAAAATGTCGCGTTACGTCACGTCGTCGAGCCCGCTCGCGGATCGTCGATTATCGATCCGCGATGACTTTCTCGGGGAGATCGATACGCGGAAACGCGCTTATCCCGACGGCGCGATCAACGACGACGATAATGATGATAATAATTGCATAATAATCAGGCGTTATCGCGATATCGTCGTGATTATCCCGCGCGTCTCCACGAGTCTATTTCAAGCTGATACCTTTATTTTATATTTTTCACGCGTAAATATAGAATAGAATCAGTTTTATCATGCGAGAATATAGTTCCTTTGATGCTATAAATATGTAGAAACTTATTTTCCATTTTCCTCCTCTTGAAGACTTAATATAGAATTTAAAATTTCAGCTCGTTCGGCGACGCACACTTATCACCTCGAATGCCAAAAATGAAACGTACGAAATTACGCTTCACCGTTCGCTGGTTTTCTTGCAACGAGCAACGTTAAAGAGTTAACATTCGGGAAAGTGACGCCTGGTATTTTCGTGACATAATGCGTTGTCGCGCGATGAAAATGTCGGAGAGTCAAACCGCGCACAGCTCGAGCGCATACGTCGCATGCGAGAGATAGAGAAAGAGAGAGATTTTAGCCGGGATCGAAAACCCGAACCTTATTCCGCGATAGCGAGCATCTTTTTCTTTATTGCGTCACTTTTGCTCGCGTTTGGCGGGGACGCATGTGTGAAAACCCGGTGAACGCGCGGCCGTCGTTCTCTCTCGAAGCGATACGCTCATTAACAAGCCGTATCGCGAGAGATCTTTTATCGCCGGCATCCCAAAACCGCCGGATGTCCTTTTCACTACGGTTTCCACGATACCCGCTCGACGATACCGTTTTTATCTCGGCGAGAGACACGGCACTTCGAGTAGTTCACGAAGGAAAGCAAGCTTCTCGCGATGACTGAACTTCGACGAACTTAAACCAAACAACCGGATGGTAAAACGATATCTCTCTCTACCGGGTTAATTTCAAGCGACCAACTTTAACTGGAACAATCTTGAGATCCGAGATTTGCCTCATTCGTGGATGCATAATAAAGCGCGAATTATTCGGACATCGATTATATTATTATTCACACGGATGGATCTTTTTCTCCGAGGATCACTGCCCGAGCGTGTACACATTTTCATTGGCATCGAGGCTATGCTGTTGTGTTTACATCGTTTTCTCTCTCCTTTGGTATCCTGTTTGTGATTTTCTTTAGGATTTAAGAAGAACGAACGACGTCGGGATACATCGCGTTAACGATTACGAGAATAATGATAAGTGACGTGACTCGACATTATCTTTAAAGAAAAGGTAGTTTTGTGCAAATAGAAAGTGAAAAAATCGAAATAAATTCCGTGATAAGATAAGACTTCAATAAGCAGACTGTATGGACGACTGCTTTCGCTACCACGAATCTCGGCAGAGGGACGAATCGCGTTTCGTGATTAAGCGGTCGATGACGGCTCGTACAGCTCGTACGATCGCGCTAAATATGGATTTAAATGCCGAGAACGTTGATCCCTTGGCTGGTCGGGCATCGAGATTACTCCAAAAAGTCGAAAAAAACCAGGTATCACGCGTGATGCCATTTCGCTCATGGCTCACATAACCCGACTATCCCGTGTATCGAATACCAATCCCTCGCATTCGTCGTGAAATTTGATTTTAGGAAAATTGTAGAATGGACGTTCCTCGATATTTTCTCTCTTTCTCTCTCTCTCTCTTTCTCTCTTTTGCCCGAGTTAGAGCAATGGAAGTTGGATGTGTAATAATTCAATCTGGTCTACCTATTTCTATAGACTCGCTGTTTAGATAGAACCCGTTTCCCTCGGTTCTGGCCGATTGATTATTCGATTGTTTCTATTTATGAGCGAATCTCTCATTTATTATTGACCATAAATTCAATCGTAGCACGGTAAAACGGAGCGTAACAGCGGAGAGAATAGAAGTTTTTTTTAGACTGACACCATGAGCAGAGAAGCATAACTTGCCTACTTCGCTTCCTTTCAAAAGGACGCTTGAATTATAATGGCCGCGCACCGGCATTGAAAATCGTGTCGTGACCCGATAGACCGTAGATAACCAGTGCAAACGCGCTAACTCATTCGATGCCGCGAGAGTTTGGACGCGCTCCAACGGCAGGACGCGAGTCGTTTTCCTCTTTTTTCCCCTCCTCCCTTCGCGCGTCACACACAGTATATAAAGAGAGATAAAGACGAGGGAGGAGACCGGTAAACACCATGTTGAAAATTTCGCGTGTCATTTCGCGCATGTTCAGAATTTGAACGTTCGAATAACTCAATTGGAGGGACAGGTGCACGACGGGAATTGTCGCCATTTGCATTTCGAAAAGTGCCGATTTATTCGCCCCCTTCCTGCCGCCGACTCGCCGATTTACCTCGCTTGTAACGAGGCCTGTTCGTGACCTTCACGAGGACGCGAAACAATCCCCCCTCCCGCACACACTTGTCCCTTCAATCGTCGTTGAAAATCGCCCAGCCGGCGCGAGCCGCGTCCCGTCGCGGCCGGTCAATGTGGCGTCGGCGGTACATTGTGCACGTACTCACCATGCAGGAGAGATTCGCGTCGGCGTTGTGTCGGCTGGGACGTCGTGGGAGAGGAGTCGTCGAAAATCTAAGGGGGGTATCTCGAGCTGTCCAGCGGAGTCTCCGGTCCGTGGTGTGCTCCTGCTTCCCCTCGGATTAAACACCTCCGGGCGGACTGATGACGGATAGATGAACGGATGGACGGTCAGTCCCGGAGGGAACGGAGGAGAGGGCGAATCTCACTGAACGCGAGCTCAGAAAGACGGAGCTAGGAGAAACGGAGTGCGAAACGGTTACGCGAAACGAAGGAACAAACGAACGAACGGTCGAGAGAGAGAGAGCGCGCGCGCGACGACACGAACACCGGAGAAAAGTACCAACCGTGCGACGCGCGGGTTCAGCGGCCGACTGAAAGGATGCAGGCGCCGCTGCTCCGCCATGGTGCCCCCTCGTGGTCCCCAGCGCAACCCCCACCATCGCGCGCGCGCCGAGAGAGACAAAGCGGCTGCGCGCGCAACCTCACATTTTTTGACCCTACACACAGCCCCCCCCCCCTTCTCGGGCAGCTTTCCGACACAGCACCCCTCCTTCCGCTACCCTTAGGCTCGATTCACTACGAAGGCACGACGGATCGCGAAGTACCGCGCGCGCAAAGTACGAATTCTCCGCGAATGTGTGCGTGGGAGGCGAGGAGCACCGGCGGAGTCCTCGGAGCCGCGTTCTCGTGGACCTCAGCGTGGTGGGGACCGATCCCTTTTTACAACCCCCCCTCCCCCCCCCNCGTGACTGTCGCGCGGATCCCGTAGAATTTGTGCACGCTCGCTGGAAGACGCGAGAGAGAGAGACGGGGATGAAATGCAGTTTCTACTTATAGAGCGAGTCGCCGAGGGCCGAAATTCGGTTCACGTCGCGGAATAGCACCGGCGTGTCGCGTCGCGATTGATTCGTGCGAAAGGGCACGGGGAAGAATTAAAGTTCCGCGCGAAAGAGGACGTTGCCCCCTTCGCCCGATGGAAATAGAAAATAACTCGATAACGTGCCGCTCGCCGTGTCGAGCCACCGTTCTGTCGCGGAAACGTGCAATTTGAAGACCCGCTTGAAATATACATTCTGTCCCGTACTTCCGTCCTTCGGTACGAAAGGTATTTCTTTCCAGTAAATTCAACGTCTTAACTGTTTTATCCACAACGTCGAATTAAACGGCTTTGAAAACTGCGAGCGTAAGCGTTATTCGCGAGCGGTTTTCAATAAAGCCTAATCTTGCATCGCTTTCTTCTTAATTTCGATGAAACTTTTCACACGCGAAGATAAAGAAAACTCGTATTTCAGCGATATGTCCGCGCGATATTTCGCCGTAAATGAGTGAAAGTATCTTATTAACGAGAAAACGAACCGAGATCGAGATAGAATTCTGGATATACCGTCTTACCTGTTTACGCACGGTATCCTGCCGCTGCTACCAGGAATCTGACCGCTCTTCTGGACAGCATTGCGTACGAGCGAACGCGAAAGCGTCTTTTCACAGCCGAGGAAAATGTCGACGATCGCGAACGCCCGTGTGTGTATCTATCCATTGTCGTTCCGGTGAAACGAATTACCTCGGCGGAAAACATTATTTTAAAATTATAAGTCAGCCATTCCGCTAAAATCTTTAACAACGACGACCATCAGGTCAGGATAACACGCCGTCAGGTGGTTTCAGGCGGAGGAAAGAAGGCGGGAAAGAGGCACGGTCTCCTGAAACAAAAAGGAATATATTTTTTCCGCCGTTGCGTAGCGCGCCTTTTAATTGAACATTATTAAGTCTCCCCCGATGCAATTACCGTGCTGCCCTTTCGCGCTGCCACGTCCGTAATTACTATACCTCGTTTACTAATAGCCGTTCCGCCGGATATCATAGTTGATCATAGCGGTTACGCGTTACAGTCACGGAGTCTGTAAACGGGAGCCGCGCGCAATGCGGATTGCACATTGTCGTAGGCCATGCGTAAAGCGCATCGCGCGCACGCATTTGCATAAGAGTATAAATATGGAAGGAGAAGGGGGGAGGGGGATGTATCAGAGGGTCCCTCGAGTAAAGGGCGTCTAGCGTAGGTATTGTCGGACAATACGGTGGACTTATTCTACGTTTCTTGCGTTTCATCACCCGTTTTTGCGTCATTCCGGGCGCGTTTTTTATGGCCCGCTGTATGTTTCCGCGAGAAATTACCTCTGTCTCATGCAAGACACGATAATTTACGTCGGTAATATTCGCTCGCCAGCTGTTAATTGTATCCACTAACCGCCGGACTGCACGGAATCATCGGTTTTACTTTTCGTGTTTTGTGTATTTATAATGTACGCTGAGAAAGAGAGAGAGAGAGAGAGAGAGATAACGTTTTCGCTACGACTATGAATCTAATGGATCACAGTCCCTAAGCGATTCCATTAACCTCGTTTGAGATGATAAGGGTTAGAATATTTATGAGGCGTCTTTTATAATAGACTTACACAGGAAATATCGCACACGGATCACTAAAAATATCATTATTTACACGCGAAGACCGCATTTTGTTGGTTTTTAAGGCAAATATGTATATTTATGTACCACCTACGTACTTTGCATTGTCGGCGTCAGATTTGGCGGCAGAAAGAGAGAAGTTGCAAAAAAGGTACAGAAGGTGCAGCTAAAAAAGAACAAGTTCACGAATGCAGCGCTCTACTTTACAGATGCAAGCAGTGACATCTGCTGTCGACAAGATGAAACTTACGCAGAATTGCGTTCAAACTTGGTTATGTTGTCAACATATCCCCGGTTTTTACGCTGGTTAATTTTATCCAAATTGGTAATGATACGATTCATCCATCGTAAAGTTTTCACGAAGTTTAATATCGAGCGAAATAGTCAGATTTGTCGTTATTTATTCGAGCTTGAACGAAAAGCTGCGAACGTGGTGGTAATCTTAGCTTGGCGCCATTTTTGTCAGCTGATGCTATCAATTTCAGAAGCATCGCCAATAATTTGAGCGTGAATTACAATTTTATACGCTTTATGTAACGCGCACAGCATATAAATATGATTAGGATGGTTATTTCATGGGAGATCGTGTAAATGTTTATGTGACGAAATACCGTGAAGGACTCGATATTTGTCAATAATACTTTTCGGCGATTATGTCGTTGCGCGCAGTACTATGAAGACAATATTTTTCATTGTAACACTGGTACGACGAGGTTACGCTTCTAACGTAGTACACTCCTAAAGTACTCCTCCGGAAAATTCCTTTGAAATTATTTTGGTCAAGTTTTTCACACTACGTATTAAGTATCGTTTTGTGAAACTTACAGATATCCTACGGATTAGCAGTGGAAGAGGAATTACTGCATTATGTTAGCGATGATGTTCCTGGTGGTTCATATAAATATTATAGCTTGACATACGATGGTTATATTAAAATACGATTAACTTCGTTGTGAGTATCTTAAATGGTATTATAGTTGTTGATATTCTTTACATAGTTACATGTAATATGTACATTTCATATTCTTCATGTTCTTTAGAAGTGGTGATGCAGATTTATATGCATCGCAAACTACAACGAAGCCAACGTATGAATTGGACCATTATTGTTTGCAATCTACAACTTGCGGAGAAGATATCATTTTTATACCTAAGAGGTATTATATATACATATATATATATACTATATTTTTCAAACTTATTTTTTAACAAGCTATAGTATATTATGAATTTTTAGTTTTAAGCGGCCTGTGAGTATTGGAGTTTATGGTCATCCATCGCATGAAATTAGTAAATACACTCTATTAGTATTTGAAGTAATGGTTGAAGACGACATAACTTACGATCAAGCATCAAGAAATACTTACAAAGATCAAGATAATAAGGTAAATAACTAATCTATCAGTTCTACCTTTTATCTTTTATATAAATATTAATTTTTCTCTGGTCTTTTCTTTCTCTCCTCTCTCTTTCTGATATAAATATCTTATTCTAATGTTTCAGAGAGTGCACATTTCATTTTTTGCTAATCTGGTATGGTATTTTATGGAATTTTTGCTTCAACTATTATTGTAAGTTCTAGATGATTAAGAAGTCTAAGTAAAAAGCAAGCATGTTGGAATACGAGGTTCAAATCTTTCTTGAAGTCCTTCAAGAGGATGGTTTAGTTATTACAGCTAAGTGAGCATTGTTTTGCACTCACTGTCATATTATGTGAAAAATCATATATTAATCAGGCAATGAAAAATATTACAGAGGCCTTGGAATAGAAACTGTTTTTACAAGTGTACTGAAAGCGTACTCAGATCCAGGCAACCTGGTTATAGTTCTGGGAACCACTGATCATGATGAACGTTATTTTATAGAGCTGCTTAAAAGTTATGGAACAAATATGTTACCACGTATAGTTAATGCTGAATGTCCTTCCAACGAAAGGTTTATTAAGAAATACTTTAGATTTTTTTTTTACAAATATATATACACAGTTTATAAAATCTATTATCAAATATAACAGGGAAATCATGTATTTGGAAGGTGGAGTGCTATTTATATCGGGTCGTATCTTGGTAGTGGATCTACTGAAGAATCGAGTCCCACTGCACTTGGTCACCGGAATACTCGTGTACAGAGCTCACAATATTCTTAACGCATATCAAGAGGCGTTCGCACTGCGCTTGTACAGGCAACACAATAAGACTGGATTTATCAAGGCGTTCTCAAATTCATCGCTGGCCTTTACAATTGGGTGTTCTCAAGTGGAACGAGTCATGAAAGCTCTTTTCGTAAAAAAACTATATTTATGGCCACGTTTTCACGCCATCGTAAACAACTGTTTATCCAAACATGAGGCTGATGTTGTAGAGTTGCATGCAAAGTTCACACCGAAGATGCTGAACATCCAAACGGCTTTACTGGATATTATGAATTTCATAGTAAAAGAATTGAAGAGGATTAATAAATACTTAGACTTGGACGACCTAACTACGGAGAATGCAATAGCAAAGAAGTTTCACAAGCAGTTGCATTTGCAATTAGATCCAATCTGGCATCAGCTTAGTCCCGCGACGAAACAATTATTTGCCGATTTAAAAGTTTTACGAAGTCTCGTTATATCTCTGACGCACGAGGATTCTGTTTCATTCTACTGCATGCTGAATAGTTTACGTACGATGGATTATGCTGTAAAGGCCAGTGGTTGGATAATGTTGGATGAAGCTGAGAATTTATTTAAATACGCCAGGAACAGAGTTTATACAGAAAGGAACGAACTGAAACCAGAACCGACTCCAAAGTGGAAAGCCTTGTCGGAAGCTGTGCTCGAGATTCAGGAACAGAGACGTAACAAGAAGGCGAACAATGAAAGTGTCGAGAAAATTCTCATCTTGGTACACGATAACAATACATGTTATCAATTGAAAAGTTACCTAACCATAGGTGCAAACGAGTATTTACTTTACAAGGCTTTGAAAAAGTTGTCGCACATTAAAGAGCAAAAGACAAATGGCAGTGATAAGAAGAACGCAAAGAATCAATCGACAGCTGAGGGTAATGCGGATGAAGAAATGCAAGAAAATCAAGATACTTACGTGCTTACAATGTCGCAGAAATGCGTAGAAGATCAGCCAAGCACCTCTGTAGCGAAAAATCAGACTCTGTTCGAAGAATGCTCGCAGGTACATTGAATACTTTTATCGTAAAAGATATTCACAAGCTCATGGAAAAAAAATCTATGTATAAATATTTCCGATTTTTTCAAGATGTTGGAGTTAAACTTGAGCAATTGCACGACATCCGTACCTATCATAGTTATACAAGCCATAAAGAAGGGCGGCGATCCGATGACGTTGCAGCGAACATTGACGGAGTACATGCCGAACAATGTTATTTTGTACGTGGCTGATATCGGCACCGTCAGACAGTTAGAGGTGTATCAGAATAATAATCCGTCGATAGATCTGAAAGTATATTCTTTAATTTACGGAGGATCCGTCGAGGAGCAAGAATACCTCACTTCTTTGCGACGAGAAAAGGAAGCGTTTCATTCTTTAATCAATACGAAAACCGTGAGTATATCCGAATTGCCTTGAACGTATTTACGCACAATGCGATATTGAACAGTCGAGATGCACTTTCACAGACCATGGTTGTGCCTGAAGATCAAGATGGGAAGTCAGAAGATTGTCTGGCCCTCGCGATTCAGTCGAATAGCACGAATGAAGAAAGTACACGTAAGGGTGGAACGCAGCCCGAAGTGATTCATAAAGTTATCGTCGATATGAGAGAATTCAGGAGCGAGCTGCCTGCCATTCTGTACACACGCGGCATCAAAATTGAACCAGTGACGTTAGTGGTAAGTGGCAAAAATGTATGAAGTTTATTAATATAAGCATCTAATCATCACTTCTGACTGTTTCTTGTTTTAACATCGTTGCAGGTGGGTGATTATATCCTTACGCCCGAAATATGCGTCGAGAGGAAAAGCGTATCCGATCTTATTGGTTCTTTACTTTCTGGAAGATTGTACAACCAAGCGGTCGCTATGACAAGGCACTATGCCAAACCCATGCTCCTTATAGAATTTGATCAGAACAAACCGTTCAGTTTTCAGGTAATCAGTTCCGATAAAGAATGACGTTTGCGTAAAGCGCATAGTTTCTACATGCCACGTCATTTTCGATCATCTTATTACTGTATATACTTGCAGGGAAACTACTACGTCAGTAGAGATCTTAAAAATACAGAGATAACAGCAAAGCTACAATTATTAACGCTTCATTTTCCCAAGTTAAAGCTCATATGGTCTCCCAATCCACACGCGACAGCACAGTTGTTCGAAGAATTAAAGGTAATATAAATTTCTCGCGTAATGATGTTATTAACAACTGATAACTATGTTAATCTTTGTATACTTACAGCAAGGTCGAACTCAGCCTGATTCGAATATAGCCGCTAAAATCGGAGCGGATGAAAATACAGAAGATAAAGAAGTGATGACAGAAAAATATAACCCTCGTATCCAAGACTTTATGGCTAAGTTACCAGGTGTGCATTCGAAAAATCTACGTATTTTATTGAATAAAGGGCAATCACTAGATCACCTTATCAAACTTACCAAGGTAAGCGTAATATTAACAATTAAGTCTTAACATATTTGTTCATATATAATCTGCCTTTCATTGTATCGTTGTATAAGTAACAGTAAGGATTTATTAAGGATAAATAATCTTTGATTTCATATTTTGTGATCAGGAAGAACTAAAAGAAATACTTCAGAATGCAAATGATGCTGAATTATTATATAAAGGTCTACATGAGAAATGCTTACCAGCAAATGAAGCATCATTAGCTAGCAAAGGTGTTTCTAAAGTACGTGGTAAAAAAATGTTTACTAGAATAAAAAAGTAACACAATGGATATATTGTAATGAGATTTTGAGTGTAATCCAAAATGTTTTTTAATGTTCTAATGCCGTTAAATAATATAGTTAGTTTCTGTTTATAACATTTTTATTTTTTGATACCTATATGCTATACCCTCATCNTAAACACACGTGCGATAAATATAATTATATTAATAAATATAATTATATATATACAATATTTCAGTAATTAAGCATAAGATTACGGATAACTAGCAGAACTTTGCATGGAAAGTTCGGGGGAGAAACATAGATTGGATCTAAAATTTTGTAAATATGTATTATTTTTGTTTTATAATCTATAATTGTTACACATTAGAATGCTTATGTATGTATGATATTTAGTTTTATGTATTCTTCGATACTACTTACGTTGCTTCATTGAGATTCTCGATGCTGTTTTCCTCATCACTACCGCTAATTGCGTCAAGATTATATAAAAAGGAGTCATTTTCAGATAAAGGAAAATAATATCTGAAACAAACAAAATATATATATACATTAGATGAAAGATGTTATTAGATAGAAAAATTCTATACATTTTATTCCGACTATATTTGTACTAACTGAGGTTGATCCCAGACTTTTCGTTCAGGGATCTTATAATGTTGTTTACTTTTCATGTGTTCAAAGATACCATCCGTGTCTTCTTCACAAAAAACACATCGCTGTAGTTGGATTTGTTTTTTTATATAATTAACTACTTTTACCTGTAATAATAAAAATATGTTACAAAGATATTAGTGTATTGTTTAAAAACGTAGAGCCGATAATTATGCGACAATGTTCACCTTTTGGTAAAAGGTCAGGTCTTTGACTGTCTCTTGAAAATCAAAGCCATGTTCTTTCCTCATATGACTCAAGATACACGCTAATTCTTTATTGCTATAATTACAGAATAAACATGTTATTCCGACAGAGTCGTCATTCCAATCGGACCATGAACCCTCTTCATCTTCATTTTCACTACTGACAACTTCCAGATTCTGATTCTTTTCTGATTCGTGATTATTCTATTAAAAAATTAAGAAATAACTCTCAGAATGTTAAAATTTCACTGTAAAGTGCAAGCTACATTTCAATTACCTGTCTTCGCTTCCAAGTTCTTTCCGGCTGCAGGTAATTGATTATATAAAACTTATCGTATGTTTTGTTATTTGGATTTATACACTTGTGTGACTTTTTTCGCATATGTTCCTTCAATACTGTCCGATCTTTAAATGTCTTTTCACAGTAAATACATATTAAACTAAAAAAAATTGGCACAGGTGATTGTACAATACACTGTAAATATTCTTGTAAACATACTTGCTCGAGTAACATGATTACTAATATGCAATTTACAAGTGCAATACCTTTCAATAGTACTCTGAATTTTATCCAAAAGCTCATCAACAAATACTAAGTTTTCTGGCTTGCCAAAATAAAGATTATGCTTCTGATGAAGATGTTTTATATAAAGAGTGCGTAATCCACAAAATTCCATACGGCAAAACACGCAGCCACGTTTGAAACTTGTATCCACACGTTCAGCTTCTTGTTGTGCTAATGCCCATTCCTTAAAATATTGTATTATGTATTTTACACTATATTTTTTTTTTTATTATATATACACATACTTACTAGTTTAGCTTGCTGTATTTCATATCTCAAAGTTTTGTCTTCTGACAGACAATCAGAAAGCAAGAAGTACTGTTCATCTGGACTTGGTTTGCCATCTGGCATAAAATCCATCAACAGTGTGGTGCAATAAGTTGTTAGTGGTGCTTCCTTAAATTTTATACTCCAGTAATGTATATAACTGAAAATGAAAAACTAGTGTTATATTCAATGTATCTTATATATATCTGACCTAGGTAAAATTGATATCAAAATAGATTAATAATTAGTTTACCTTCTTAAACTTGCTATTTTCCAAACATCTCCTATAACAAGGTGATGCACCATATATAGATGCGTCAGAAAATAAGTTTCATTTGTTGGGAGAATAAAAGTATAATCACATAACAAACACTTTGTTTCACATGGTTTATCATCTAGGCCAACAAATTGAGATTTATACATTCTGAAAAGTTTAAGTTTATTAAATCTTATGCATTTATAACAGTTATTTCATCCTTATTGTGTAGAAGAATAAAGCACGTTAGAAATTAAAAGTACAATTCATTGTGTTACAAACATATACTGCTATAAGTTATTCTCAAATCCTAACAATAGATTCCGTTTATCATATCGATTAATATTGGGAGTATATGTTAACAATATTTGCATGCTGTGAGAGAGTTAAAAGTCCGGAAAACGGTGAATCTTGATAAATCTATTCGTTGCTATTATGACGAGTATGGTTATATATAATAACAATAAAAGTTTTGCAAACATTTCAGCATTTTTACCTGGCTGACGAATGATACACTTTTTTAATCCTTTGCTAAGTTATATTGCTCAAAAATAAACGCACTTTCAATTCGTCGTTGAATTATATTATGTGGAAATAAAAAGGTTTTTGACCTGTTTTAATATCATTTTTTGTAAATGAGAGAGGTTATCCGACTGACAGTTGGGTTGTACTACTTTGAAAATGAAAGGTCTGTCCAGCCCATCGTTGAGTCGTACTACGTCCTCAAATTATCAGTGAAAAAGTGGCGTCATAGCGGATGTTGTGGCCGATATTTATAGTTGGATCTTAAACGGAGTCTACAATGAGAATTTAAGCTTCAAGCCTTAAGAAATTGACCAATTATAATCGAATATGGGATTAATCGACTGAGATTGATTAATTTTTTAGAGGTTTAGAGCTTAAAGCACCGGGTGTTGTACACCGGGACTAAAGCATTTATTATGGACCAGGACTAACTTTTGCAACGATACAAGTGTCAAGTGGATGTTCTTGATATTTAGTTTTATGTATTATTTTTAATATTTGATTTTAAGTAAAAGCAACTTTCTTGTATCACTTATACGATGTCATATAATTATTCGAATGTATAATTAATGAAAGAGGGATGTTTGCTCCAATACTTATAACTTAAAATAACATTCTCTTATAAGTTGGAATGGCAAGGAGGCCATTTAAATTTATCGGGAAAACCGCTTCTTCGACTTAATTCGCCACCGTTACTATCAGATGGCGTTTGTACAATGTCTCGTCAAGTACACGTGAGTTTGCCTTGTTTGGAATCGCGAAGAAATTGTCATCCGTGAAAGAAGTCAGACGAGAAGTATCGTATCCTTTGAGATCGTGCTTCTTATTCGCGAACAAGATGTATATCGTCTGCACTATATGTCGTGATAATTTCATACAATCTGACGATATCTCTGTTACCCCTTGTGGACATGTATTTCATCTTAATTGCTTGTCACGTTGGCTTATGAGGTAGAAGAGATCAGTTATGTTTTTTATAAAAGCATTGTGAGACGTCGATTGACTTGACCTGTTCTCATTTCTTCTTACTTGTATCTTGACAAAGTAAATCAGACAAATAATTTAAATGAATTAACTTCATTCTATGTTTATATTCTAGGTCAAACAGTTGTCCAGAATGCCGTGAGGAAACCTCACAAGAGAAGATCCAAAGACTTTACGTTACATTTGTGAATAATGAAACCAGTAGCGCTGACAGTTTATCCACGCAAGAAAGAATAGACAGTTTGAAATTTCAAGTTATGCTCAATGAAAGAAACATCAAATATTATACCACAAAAAGTAAAACCTTGGAAAAACAAAATGCGGGTCTCAGACAAGAAGTACGGAAAGTAGAAAGTGAGATGAATAAAAAGAACTCAACTATTTACCTTTTAAAGGAACAAATGAAGACTCTTAAAGAAAAATATATGGAACATGAAGCTTTAAAATGTAAATTGTCACAGAAAGAAAAAGAAATAGAAAATTTAAAAATGTATGTTTACTTATATCAATTCGATGATAAACTGATTCGGTCATTTGTAATTTAAAGTGATCTCTGAACTTTTTTCTAGTGTGAAAACATTATTACATGGCTCTGTCATAGATGCAGAAGAAGCAGCTGAAAAAACTGATCGTGATACTCTAATTGCTTATGTGAAAGCTATGAAAAGGTATTGTCTATTCTTATCTTTCTACTCTTAAATTTAATGTTATAAGATTTTCATATTTGTTATAATACTAGGGACATGTCGACAAATGCAAAACAATGGGAATTGTTATATAAACATACTAAAAAATGTCATAGTTTACTGGCAGAAATTGACTCAAAAATCTTAATAACGTATGTATTTATTTTAAATAAATAAATTATATAAAATTATTTTGCTTCAAATTACAGTAAATTATATAAAATTATTTTGCTTCAAATATTTCATTATTATTTGTTCTCAGAAAAACTACACGTGATAAAGAATATATAAATAATATGACTGACACACTACATGGCATTTATAAGATGGAGAAGTTGATAACAAGCAATTTAAAAGCATGTAAACATTTCGGTATACAAAATTCGATACCTAATGGCCAAAAAAAGTTGTATGAAAATTCTCCCATGGATGTACAAGAAGTAAAGATTGTTTCTAACAAAGTAAACCCTTTAGTTTTCTCTAATATTTGTTTCTTTTATCAAACGATATGTAGTTAATATATTATAATATATTCTACATAATTTATCTTTTATTGTTTTCTACTAGACAAATGCAAAACAGGAAACCAGGACAATGATGGGCACAATGGTGAATAATAGTGCAAACCAAGAGAAATGCCCAATTTCTAAAAAAAGAATGAAACTGGTTTCGGCAGTATTACACGTATCGGCAGATGACAATAGTGAAATGTGAGGTAAATGTGATTATGGGAGCATATGCTAAAGAATATATAAAGTACACAATTTCTCTCCAGCTACAAATCGAAATGTTACTTTAGAGCGACTTACTGTATCGAAAATTGGATTATTGTCGAATTCAAGTAATTATTTACGATTAATTTGAAATCATCCGTCCGTTGGTTTTATGGCAACACAAAATGTTTTCAAACGCTTTTGCACAAGATATTGATTGGTTCATTCCTACAAATTTAATGATTATCTCCACGATATATATAATAATGATTAACGGACATTTCTTTAATTTTTGAGGTATAAGTATTAATCATATTAATTTCTCATGTATGAATTATATCAAATATATATATAAATATCAAATTTTCGCGTATTAAGGATGATACAAAAACTTCTTCTCTATATTAATAACTATTAATAACTATGCGTAAGCTATATTGTAATAAAATAACGTGTACGCAGATAATATATTATTTTTCTAATACAAAGTACAAATATTTTGCAACGGTAAATGTAGATATCTTGCTGCGATGTTTTAGAAAAGGATAAAAGATGTATGGTGCTTTAGCTCTCTCAAAGTCGCTTTTATGTAATTTTCTGTTTCAATGTGCTCGTATACTTTTTTATTATTACATGTGCCAAAAATAGTACGGGTATATAAGAGGAAAAGCTAGATAAAGTGTAACGTAAGATAATAATGTAGAATAAAAAAAAATAGTTTCAAGGAGATTAAGTGTAATCATTTCGATGTGTATCTATAAATTTTTATTCAGTATTCGTATTCATGTAGGCGCTACATCGTTTCTCGTACGTGAAGAGATGGACAAAAGAAATTCTGAAATTGTAAATGTATCATATGTACATAGGATATTTCGGACAGGATACGCTAGCGTTAAATCTTACAAAATGCATTCGGTTCTCTTATTATTAACCCTCATCCGGCTGACACTTAAGACTAGGTGTGAGAGAAAGAGGATACATTTCACTTCGCTTTTCACGATCTCACGCACCTTTCTGATTTTCCTCGTCACGTAGCGCGTGTGTTTTGCGAGAAATCATAGGATGTAACGCAAATCGAACATCGGAGATCGCTCTGCGAGCAGCATCGAAAATGTCAATGTGGACTCGCAGACAATCCGTCCGATCGACCCGCCGAGTCGAGGGTTGATAACAGTAGTGATCTAATAGCTGGATCGTTAATCGGAATGCTCTCTATTCTAGGAACTGAAAGATTAAGTACTTTGTACGTAAGACTAGTTTCGTTCTTCTACTCACTTCGCGTTCTCGTAATTAGAAATGCGGTCGAAATTCCAAGACGTCACTCGAAGCGAAATCTATGTCGTGCATCAACACACACTCGCGTATTCGCGCGCGCGCGCTCGCTCGCACATGTATTTTATATTACTTCTTACCTAATGGTGTATCGCGGTGTACCCCGAGCCAATACGAATATACAAAAACACACACACTTTGGCTTCCTCAAAACTAAGCTCACACGCTGAACCACGCTCGTAGTCTTTTTTTTTTCATATTAAAAAATCGGTTTAATCGCAGTCGCGTTCGCTGCTGTAGTTAACTAGAGTCTCGAGTTTTGGTCAACGGTGTGTAACTCTCGTGCAAAATTCTCGCATGATCTATGATATAAATGTCTGAGAGTGAGTATTACGATGTCAAAACCGAGATATCGATTAATTGCCGGTGTTTGCGTCAGGAGAAGAGAGTATGTACACGCATCCCCTTTAGAAGCTAACGTAATTTCAAAGCGATGGAATTACATGCGCGTAAACGCAATATTAGCGCGTATTGCGTTCGAACCGCACACTCTGTATATATATATATATNTAGTAAATTAAAAAACGCTATTGAAACGCAGGTATCCATTTTTTTTTTGTTTCAGTCGTGTCTCCCTTTATATACCAGTGTATCTATTCAAACCTTGCAGGTTTCATTTATGTTGCAAATTGTAGATGAATGAAGTAGCAAAATCCTCCCTCCCCCGCCACGTCGCTGTGTATGTTTTCTCTCTCTCTCTCTCTCTCCCCCCCCCCCCAATATGTGCATTGACTTTCTCCTATATATTCATATAGGAAGTAAACTCCTTGCAAACGTGCAAATGGATGAAGCGACGGATAAATCGACGAGACCGGTCAAATCCCGACAAAACAGGTCGAGTAAAATGTTGACGGCAGTTTGATCTTACGCCCGTCGATCTTTGTCGCACGTTGTTCTACCGCATTGCGTCGGAANCCTGTCGTCCGCCGATTAAAGCGACGTCCGTCGCGTCATCCTCTGATATCGCAAATACTGTCTTACGAATGCATAAGTTTTCGATATCGCACGACATTCAATTCTCTATTCGAATATTACATTGTATACTAATATCAAAGTATACGCGCGTGTCCGCAGTATGTGTATGCATGTGTATGCGTGTGTGTGTGTGTGTGTGTGTGTGTGTGTGTGTGTGTGTGTGTATGTGTGTGCGCGTGTGTGTGTGTGTGTGATCCGTTCGCCGCCGGCGCGACTCGCGCCTTCGCTTCATCGAGTACCTCGAGAACACGTACCTTCGACACTTAACGCTTAATATATCGTTAAATTATCCTTTGTTTCGTTTTTTTTCTAGATTGACTTATCGATTGACCCATCTCTTCACCGCTTCCGCCCAATTGGAGTCATTCTCATCCTCCTTCTCTCCCTCCGCCTCCTCCCTCTCGCCGCGTTCCTGCTCCAGATCGCTGGACAACGTGGTCGACGGCGTTTGCGGCATGTTGGCGTTGCGAGCTCGCAATTCCGCCAGGAAGTCATTCTCCTGCTGGTAACGCCGTTGCAGCTCCTCCCGCCAGGAATTCCCGCCACCGCTGCTATCGTCACCGTCCTCGCCGGCCTCAAAGTCTACAAGTAGACGCGAGCCGCGTGTCAAAATTCGCTCGTGTGTACGAACGATACGCGGATCTTTCGTCACGGTCTCGTCTCTTTCAGGACGAGCGATATAAAAAGATAGTGTGTGTTGCGTGTTCATTCGCCGAATCGAATTCCGCCTCCCGGGGAGGAAGTCTCGACTTCGAGGAAGATTGCGTGAAGATATACGTTGTGTCAAAGGGTTGTATCGAAGGGACGTTGTATCCGACACTCTTGCGCATGTACAAACTTACAACTATAGACCGGAATTGTCCAACACGCGCGCTCGTGACCGACGAGCCGGTTTTGCGTCTCTTTTTCTTCTCGAACGTGGTGAAATTGAGAGAAGGGCGTAGAGCGAAGTTACTCGCGAGCACATGTTGGACAACTCCGCTACCCTATAAGCGCGTAATATTTTTAGAATATTATTATATATATATGAATATTATTAAATATTAAGATAATATTTTTACAATATTCTAAGAATCTTATGTAATATTCTTTAATATTATGGAAAGGCTCTATCGATATTATATGTCCATTTCACATAATATTCTTGGCATATTATAAAAATATTCTTAGAATATTAAAAAAAAAGATAAAATAATAACAGTAATATAGAAAAATATGTATAAATAAAAAATGTATATTATATATGTATAATTATTTAGTGTAAAACGTATTTTTACACAAAATTATCTTGACTTTATTTATATAATAAAACAATTGGTATTGTAATACACATTTGAAATAAAATACTACAATTATATATATCATATATATACATAGAGTTGAATATTAAAAAAAAATACATAATATTATAATAACATTGAATAATATTATTCTTTTAGTATTATTAGGAGTGGACATATAAACATCTATTAATATTTCAAAAATATTACTTAGTCTTAAATAATATTACTAGAATATTACGTCTAATATTCGAAGAATATGCCTAGAATATTACTTAACATTGAATAATATTACGCGCTTATAGGATACAGACGATTAAGAAGTAATCACAGATGTTAGGATACACGGTCTCATGAAATTCATAAAACGTTCTCTCATCGTACATCATGTAATGCGTGATGCTTATGATGATGAAAGGAAAATGTATAGAAAGCATTTCTAGATATGAATATGAGTATATGTATGTACAGTTTGATTTTTTTTTTTGCAAGATTGATAACAAAACCAAGGAAGAGAAGATTGAACCGAGAGACTCATCGATGATCGACGCTCGAAACGTTTCGGGATTATTTCGATTAGAAGAGCAACATTGCAAACGCCTAAAGTGCAAACGAAAACAAGAGTAAAGTGGTAAAGTTTCGTCGATATGAAGAGAGAGAGAGAGAGAGAAAGAGAAAGAGAGATAGATACTTACCTAGCGGTTTTCTGATGTTCATTCGTCCCGAGTTGTGAGAATGGTCCTCCTGGTCTGAGTCTGCAAGCCACCAGGACACATTCACAGGGGGTGCATCACACACATTCCACAACACGTCTAAAGTGTCATTTGTATATTGTATATGGTATATCGAAACGTCTATTTGTCCGTCCAAATTCAGTTACGAGAGCATACGTGATGTAACTGTACACATATGTCCTTCCTTGTGATATCGGGAAGAATGTCGTGCTCATCATCGAGACTCGAGAAGTAACGAGGAGACTGGTCGTAAAAGACATTAACTTTTTCTAGCCTTGTTCTTACTATATACACACAAGCATTATACGATCATAATATTATATTAAAAAATAATATAATTTCGAGGCATATCTGTCTTCTTCAACTTTTCACAATTTACATTGTGAATCGTTTTCTTGTGAGATTGGGCAAATGTTAATTTCGAGTTACAATTTATCGTTCTACCTTTGAGGAGTTCGTCCTAAGTAACGAAGTGGCTTTTTCGTCAAGAAGACGACTCGCCAAATTTCTTTTACAAAGCCACGATTGATTTGCATCTATTCTTCCGCGGGATTGTAGATTGCAAATTGTTGCTGCCGTTATTTATTGTCTTGCGTGTCGTGTGATCCGTGCTATAACTAAGCTAATATTAACTAATTCTATTCTAGAAAGAATATAAACGAAACCGAGTATATATAAAGAAATGGCAACAGGCAAGTGTACAGATTGCTTTCCGATCGTTCGGGCTAGCTCTGTCATTTCGGTTCCGCCCAGTAGAAGCGACGAGAAAAGATTCGTACATACATGGTTCGCATCCGGGAATGTCGGTAACACACATTTATTTATTCATGTAAACTTTTCTCATTCTCTCGGTGGTGTGGAATCTGGCCAAGTTATACCGAACACTTTGAAAACAAACTGTACAGAGAAAACTACACGCGGCACCCCAGGACTGTTGCATTTTCTCACTATCATTCGACATTATATGTCAGATTTTGAAGATTAAGGAAAACTGCAGTTGTTAAAACTGCTCGAATCGACGATTTGTTTTTAATTGAATATAAGAGAAATTAAATTTTAGGTATCCATTAAAGGAGAAAATCGGTTTTACATCCCATCGATGAACGCAACTGGAAAAAAAAATGTAACAGTGGCATTGCGTGTGTATTGTATATTTACATTTTCAGGAACGAGAGATTTGTTATTCGTATTCGGATAATTAGGCATGTATTTTACGTTTATAGAAGTTATTGTGAATGATGCAAGGTCTCGCGAAACTGACCGGGTCATCGAGAATCACTTATTTCGGCGACATTTTACAACATAATTATTAATTAAAGAGAGATGATGAACCTGTATCGATTGTTATAGCTGTCTTTTTGCGAAGACTCATTATACTTACGCAACTCTTCGGAATATGAATGTATGTGTACGTGAATAAGGTGTGGATGGTACATGTATCTTATATATCCGATTTTTATTCGTGTATATTCGACAGGATGTCGCTTATAGGTCACGTCTATTACGAATGAGTCATTGATCGTTTATGAGAATACTGAGATAAAAACAGATAAAGAAGGTAGTATTTTCCCCATGCTAAAATTATTCTGACGATGTGAGAGAATATAAATGCGACGTGGCATGCCCGTTCACATCCAGTTCTAATACGACGAGATTGAGATTTCAATGACTTTAGATAGCTGTTAGTTGAAGAGAGAAAACCTGTGTATTATCTTCGCACAGTCTGAACAATTGAATTGAAAACAATAAAATATGCTGACATACATACACAGAGGAAAAGGTTTCTTTAGAATTAGTATTTCTATTTATTTGACTAAAATTTGTTTCATAGAAACAACGTGTACGAAATATTATTTGTTAGAGTAAAAATTTTGTCTCATAAAAAAAACTATTATTTAACAGAAAAAACGCTATTATTTGAAATAATATTTTTTAACCAAATAAAATATTATTTGGTTGCGATAAATATGTAAAACAAAACAAATAATATCGTTATAAGAAAATTATCTTTCGTTTCAAACAAATTTTTTATTTAAGATAAAGATATATATTCATTGAAAAATCTGAGAATCGTACTTATTAATCGAAACATTATAGTTAGATAGCTTCTTTGGAGCACACCAATGATGAAATTTGTTTGTATTTGTTTGAATGAAATTTATTAAATTCGAAGAAATCTTTTTCTCAGCGTACTGCATGGAAGTTTTGTCTCCCGATTTAACAGATTTGTAAACTACATCCATCGTTTTTACTGCTTGTTTTACACGTTTTAGAACGACTGTGTGAGAAAAGTATTTCCCGTAAAGTAGCATAAATATGCAAAATAATTAATATATACATCTATAAGTAATACGGCATAATAGTGAGAGTAGTAAAAATAGAATAGGAATAAAAATAGTAGCGATAATATGTAGTGATAAATAGTAGTAACAATAGTATATATATATATATATATATATATATATATATATATATGTTTGTATGTATGTATGATCTTGTTATATAAAATGCTACGCACGATGATTCGGTGAATGCGAATCAGTTCGTCTATTGCTCACCTCGCTTCCGAGACAATCGAATTCGACATATTTACGGCTCCACTGAAGTCGTTCGTAATTCGTATTACTAACATGCTACCAGCTAAAAACACGGCGATGGATGCTAACAGATGCTTAGTAGCTAAGCTTGCAGTAATCAAATTGACTTGTACAACTCACGAGGAGGTACTGTCCCTATTGCCTCTTAAAAATTACCTTCTCATTGTCTGATAGAAATGCCTATATTTCTATGATATCAATGTATCCTCTATATAACAAGTTCAATACACTATGGCGGAGAGCAGTAGACCGTGTAGTATTTTGTACAGTCGTATATATATTCCATTTAAAACTATAAACGCATAATTGGACGTAGCCTTGCCAGGAGGAATTTTTGTCAGTGACGCGAAACGTGAGATAGAGTCCTGATTTTGTCCTTATTTAGGTTCCACTTAGATCTACATAAGTGTGCGCACGTACGTATGTGTGTGTGTGTGTGTGACGTAATTTTTAGAAAAGATATATAATTTTCTTTAATATTTTTTTTTACACAGCTATAATTGTAAAAGAATATTTCCGATTCCTCTGCTTACGCACCTACGTCCAATTTATCAGTCGCATCTGTCACTAACAAATTATAGCGCTTTATTTTTGTTCAACATACCTGAATTTAATTCCCTCACGAGCGTCGACATGGCATTAGTAACGCTGTCGGCGGCTACCAGTAAGTCGTTTCTTAAGGATCGGCCCAAACTATTATTGGCACTGCTGGAGCCGCTCCCTGGTAAGCTGTTTGTCCTGAATGCAGACCTGACATCGAAAATCTCTATTTTCTTGGCGCGAAGCAATTTTCAAATGAAAAATTATAACAGAAATTTGGCGGCATGCAACTTTTATTGCATAAGCATTGTCTCATTCCAGTTGTCGTAATTCTTACACATTCAATTCGCTACGGTTACTCGCGCGGTCAAACATACAAGCGTCTACAAATTTTCTTTTTAAATTAATGGCAAATTATCAGTTGTAACAGAGTACACACATGCACGATCTCGAGGGGGAGAGGGGGGGGGGGAGGCTACATGATATTTACTGGATTCTAATGATATTCTAACTAACAGAAGTACGTCAATATGGCAAACGTCGTAAACGCATTACAGTGTCCTTCGTGTCCATTTTGTCTAAATATATGCCGTGCGTTCGGCTACTGCATTACTTGCAGGGCAATGTATTTACATATCGCAACGTTTACGTGTGATAAATACAACATAACGATGTTTAAAGAGTGGGTGATGTTTTTTACGCAAGCTTTGCAACGAAACGGGGGGGTATGTTGGATGGGTAACTCGTACGCGTTAAAATCATATATCCAACGCATCAATACTCTCTCCTTACGGAATACAATTACTCTTGTGTGTACTGTACATAAATGATACATTTAAAAAAATGACTAAACATGACGGCAAACTAAAAGAAGAGATATCCTTTATAAAAAGAAACATGTCGGGGCGGAACCTAATACAACTTAAACGAAATTATGAAAATTGGGATAAGCGACATGACATGACATGGATATACAAATATCTCTACTGTATGTGGTTTTTTTTTTCTTTCTCAAGTTGAGTATAGACCTGACGATTTTAAGTAACATTCTTACGAGGTACTCACTGCCTCACACTTATTTTTTTCGCGCTAGTACCATATTGTTGTCTTGCTACTAGCTTAATAAGAAGTATTTCATCGCTTATACTTGCATGCAGGAGAATTTAGGAGTTTTCCCAACTAATCGTGATGTAGTTGTACGGTGTGCAACGATATCTCTATATCGATCGCTACGGTGATATTGACCGGAAGGAACCGATCTTCCATATAGACATATAATCGGGGTAGATGTTTCGCATGCAAGCAATAAACGTGATATTCGATGACAATGAGCACTTCTGTCTCTTTCAAAGTTGATTTCCTCTTAACAATACGTACAAGTACTTGCTCATTCGACCGATAATAATTTGGTGGGACTAAGATGCAACGCGGTGCGTATCTCTTACGATATCTCAAGTAGGTACACGGAAGTGATACCTCATTTTACATTATTGTTAGTACGGATCGTATATAGTAGGGTTTCCAAATTCATTCAGATCTAATATCATCCGGATATCCGATTATTCGGATAACAAGGATAAATGTGATGCTTCAAATTCGAGTTATTCGAGGATTCTCCGAGATAATTCCCAGCAACGTGGATCCCTCGAAAAAATTTGACAATCAATAAATTAATCTAATCGCAATTTGACTATTAATTGAGACGACTGTAATTGAATAATTACTTCGGGTAATTGTTATTAACTATTAAGCCGACATTCATAACGAAAGTTCGTTTCATTTATCCATATTAATTATCTAATCTGCTCATCTCTCAAACTAGTCACAATTCCGATATTATTTGCGAGAGATCATTACGAGAAATCTGGGTCTAAATTTGAATCCACATTCGAATCCAAATTCGATTCCGAATCCAGATCTCGTCTGAATCTGGATCCGAATAATCCGGATCATCCGGATAATCCGAGTAATGCAGTTTTGAGTCATCGGATCGGAACCGATTTTGGATATCTAGATAATCAGATATTCGCACACTTGGAAGCCCCAGTATATAGTCATATTAGCTGCCAGAGCGGAGCGATTAAAACATACGGCTGCGTTGGTTGTTGCGAACTTCGCGTCCTCTCTTTTTACGTATGTACATGAAATGTATACTAGTTACGAAAATTCGCACGAGAACGTATCTAGACGGAGAGGGACATTTGACCGTGCAGCCGGTATCCTGTCCCTTGCGAATCGCGCGTACAATCGTTTATCCACCACGCGTATTACTGCATTAGTTCAACGTTTACAATTGTCCCTCTTTGCGTTTGTTCTTTCTCGTGTTCTCGGAAAAAAGACTTCACCTCCTTTCTTCTGTAACTTCTATTTTCTTTTTGTACATGCTTGCCTACCTTACATCGCCGCCAACGCACGACAAGCTATCGGGGATAGGATTCTGTATCGTGCCGAGCATAGCGTTGCCTTGCGCGTTAGCCACTGTCGTTGGGACGGGACTTTGATAGCTCTGCGAGATTTGCGGTTGATTCTGATGCTGCTGCTGTTGTTGCTGCTGTTGCTGCTGAGGTGTCGTAGACAAGGGACCGCCGGGAGTCGGCGGTGCCGATCTGCTGCTAGGAATAGCGCCAGGCGGCAAAGGCGGCGACTTTGTACTCCGCGGTGAACTGTTCGGTGTTGATCGCGGCGACGCTTGGTGATTCTGTCGTTAGATAGATTGCTTTAAATCACGCGCGATAACGCTTGTATGGAAAACTAACAACAGCTGTTTGCTTCATTCGCTCGTCGCTCCCGCAAATATCGGTTAAAATGAAATAATCCGTGTATTTAATCGATCCTTCTCTCTTAATTTTATTCTTTCGCGATACACAGCGAATTAAATTACTCAATTAAGTTTTATAACCAAATATCCAACTGGTATATTCATGTTCGTAATAGTACCTTCAGCATTTTCATGAGACCCTCTAGCTGTACCATGAGCTGTCTCCTGGAATCCTGCAACGTTGCCAGATGCGTTTCCAGCTCGTCCTTCCTTTGCCTCAGAGCTCGCAGTTCTGACATTAACGCCGGATTCTCCAAACCCGCCGCTTCTATCTCCTGTTGCCTTCTGTATAGCGGAGATAAACATTTCTTTGAGGTATTTTCAAGTACGTTGTGACGTAAGGAAGTGGGATATTTCGCAGAATTCATGTTAATATCGCATAATATTCCACTTCACTAATTCGTTTCTATATTATTATAAGCGATGTGATGTGTGGTCGATGTAGTAGTTAGTACATGAATCTAATGAATGTCAGTCCAAGAAGAAGATCGACGACAAACTCGGATCAGTGTCGACGAAACTCGTTTGTCTTTTAACGCGAGCAATCGTCATTTAACACGTTGAATGCCGAGTGTCGGTGGCTTTCCACGTTGGACTTTCCGTTCAGGCCGCATATTTTACGTTATCTTTCATCTTGATAATAATAATTTTTGTATAATCTTATAAATACCATAAGAAATATCCTATAAAGATATATAATAAAAATATACAGGGTGTCCAATAATTGTCTTTAAATCCGTGGTGTGCAGCAGGTAGAACAGATTAACCTGGAAATGATATACCTTTTTACAAAATTCGCAATAATTAATGAGGAATTAATCTGTATTCTCCTCATTATTATGAATTTTGCCAAATATATGCTTTTCCTGTTCAATTTAATCCGTTCTACCTGCATCTACCATGGATTCAAAGACAATTATCGGGCATTCCGTATAATAAATGCGGCAATCGCGGATTATCGGTGGCCTACGCGGCGTGAATGGAAAATCACGCGAAACCGCCGCGGCGACGCGTTAATCGTCGTTAGCCGAGAGTCGTTAGCAGTCGTTAGTAATTTATAGATAGTCAGTCGACATGTATTGTTTCTCTTTGTTCCGTTGTGCGAGCTATGCAACCAAGGCAACACACAAAGCGAAACAGAACGTTCTGAACATGCGTGATCCTAGGATGGGTCAACAGGATGAAATCGAGGTTTAGGCTTGATATAAAGGAATATAAACGACACAGGTATACCTTAACCTTGCTATCTCGCGCATTATTTCCTTGTTCTTTGCCTCTAACTGCGATATAAGCTCACGCTGCGCCCGCGACGCGTCCAGCGATGCTAGATTCGCGTCCGACGGTGCTCTGCCCTGCAAGCAGAAAAGTGATCACGCGTGAAACTGGCCCGCCGGGAGACACCTTCCAGTGATACTCTAAACGATGCGTACTTACTGCTTGATCGCCCTGGGACATTCTGGACGCGGTACGTGGCTGTTAACGAGGCAGTTATGAAATTAATATTAGTGGCGCACACAGCGCGAAACGCGAAACGGTTTTAATTAGCTCTCGCGGCCTTTGCAAATTTAATGGAGTGGGCGCAATAGTAATAAACGCGCTTGAAATGTCAAAGCGAATTATATAACGCGCGTAGCTGTGTAAATATAGTGAGTATAAAATGAGTATGTAAATGTCAAAGGACTTACCATGGTCCTTGCTTCTTGTGCCAACCTTTGTGCATATCGTGCTATTAATTTATGTTCATCGTCCAGTCTTGAACTGTCCATACTGGACGATATACAAAAGAAATAAGTAAAGCATAGCGTCTACACGCAAATCGAAAGGCAAACGAATATTGTGCCGTAACGTGACGTACGTTTGAACTTACCTTCTCAGAGTCGAACGGCTGTCCATCGATCCTGAATCAAAGGGAGCCATAAATCCTGGATCTGGAAAACCGTTGTGAGATGGTAAAGGTGACGGTGGGCTGGAACGTAGTGGAATTTATTTGGATTGTAAAATTACGCTGTGAGAGAGAGAGAGAGAGAGAGAGAGAGAGAGAGAGAGAGAGAGAGAGAGAGAGANTGAGAGATGCGGAGTTATGTGCGCAATAAAGATACTAACACTATGTGCGACAGATCTAACGTCTTCTCGGGTTGCTCCGGAAACCGCGGCAAGCTGTTCTTCCCCTTCTCCGGGACGCATCGAAAGCTCTTTCGCAGGGAATGGCCGATCTGCTTGCTGGGTGATTTCTACCAACAAAAATTCAAAATCATCGTTCGTTGGAAAAATCGACAACTTACGCTGCGAGTACACATTAGAATTAAGAATCGACGTAAAAGCTCCGGATGAATGAACGTTGAAACGTTTTGAGATCTCGAGAGACACGGTTCGAAATAATACGTACAAAACTACTGTACTCCCTCGTCTCGTGATCGTTGTTGTGTGTACCCGAGACTTTACCGCGCCAGAAGCAGTCTTGACACAGCTGATAGGAGTGACACTTTTGACACCTGTAGCGAAACCCGGTGAAATTCTCCCTGTGACACGCGTCGCACATTATAGGATGAGCCACTGAAACGTCGAGATTACGTGAGACCTCTTGTACCGATCGACTCCACCTGATTTCACCTTCAATCCCACGGGATTACCTGTCTCCACAGCTGCCATTCTGTGATACAACGGGAGCCAGATCAAGCAATGCGGTCCAGGATCCGACATGAGCGTGTCCAGAAAGTCGTTCACGGTGACCTTTGAATTCTGTCGAGATGTAAAGCACGAGATCCGTTTCATCAGTCTATCACGTCAAACACACACACACACACACACACACAACGTGTGCGCACACACATAACGTCACACATACCGCGGGGAAGATGGAATTAGCGAGACCTTCGGAGTATCCGAACGACGGGGATTCGTAAACGGCCGCTGTCAGAGCTAGGACCTCCTTCAGATAATCGGCGAACCTCCAGTGTATCATGTGTCCGTTGCTGTCGGATATTTGCGAGTATATATCTGCTCAAACGGTGAAATAAAGTTTCATTAGTGAGCTTGCTCAGCGATTTATCCCGTGCGGAGACTACGTGTTCGCGACTTACATCGGAATTTGTCCATCAGCTTTCCAGCGCATAACGTTGCCAGAGCTACCTTCACCGAGAATACGGATATTTTATTGTTCTCCCTGAAAGAATCGTCCGATTGAAAGAGACGCCAAGCGAGTGAATAAGAATGGTCGTTTTGCTCCACTTCTGGTATATCCGATACTTTATTTTTGGATTTTATTAGCTTCCGAACGCAAGAAGGCTTCGACAACTTCGAAAAGCGAAAAGATTTGAACAGCACACACAGACCTTGATATATCTCTGCTCTCTAAATTTCTTGGAGTGGAATCTCACTTGAAATAAGTGAAAAGTATATTTTCGCTCGAAGCGATGAGTGAATATATTCTGGAAATACCGCCGCTCAAAGTCGCAAGAGTGAACCGTTTCTAACGATTAGAGTGAATTTGTTTCCGTAAAATACGCCAGAATTCATTCTTTTCGCGGCATTCCTAGTTGAATCTTATATTTAAGATCGTCTTGGACTTATCTTCAGATGTTGCATCGTCTCATTAGTTAAAATGCAAATCCGAAAGCGATTCAGATCTGGCTATGAATACCGACCTCTGATTATCTACGCATGAACATCTCTTCCGCTTAATATCAGATTCACTCTTCAATCGTCGAGTGAAAATGTTCACTCGACGATTCACAGTATAGAATTCATTCTATACGAGTGAAAACTCGGCTATCACTTTCCGAATGAAATTTCACTTCGAGAAATTTCGAGAGCGGCTGATCGGCTCACGTAAAACTTCATAAAGCTTCAATAATTATCCCTCCCTCGTCTCCTTTTCCTTTGCGTGTACATGTATTTACTGTTGAAAGTACGACCGGTGAAAAATTCGCAAGTGTATGCGATAATTCAATAACGATATGTAGAGAAAGAAAAGCGTATCTACCCGCTGGTGTAAGCAGCCAACAGCCAGTTCATGAGCAAGGCCGTGGTTGCGTCGACTTTAGACTGCTGGGACACCGGCACCCTCTTGTTTAGCGCGTGAAACAGGGAAGACAGTAGCGTTTCGAGCCTGGAGACCCCTAACGTGCTCGATGGCTCCAATGTGTTAAGACCGTTCTCCCGGAACGCCTCGATCACGTTCCATATGTCGACGTTGTGCACTGCGTACAATTCATGTGTACAAAAAGTCATCACAACGCACCGCGCGTACCAACTAAATACACACGGCGAAATCAATGGAGACGGGCGCGAGAACACACGTCTTTTTCGTCCGATAACACCGGTGAGGCAAAACGCGCGCGCTTAATGCTGCTAATCAACGCGAATGCAGTTATGCAGAACGCAAGAAACAATCGTGCTGTGCGGCAGAAGCGAGACGAGATTAGCGTTCCGGAGTTAATATTCAGAAAGGCCCGTCCGTGACCGTGGCGAAGATCTTTGTGCGGGTTAATAAATAAACGCGTTTAATCCCGGAGATTCTCCGCGAGCGAGAGAAACAACCGTGGTGCCACGCGGGTCGTAATCAAGTGAAAACTCAATTATACTCGGAAAACTTAAATTAATAAAAACAAGTGAGAGGATAAAGTAGCGAATCTCTTGACAAGTTCTTCCCGTTGTATTCGTCTGAAGGAGAAAAACAAAACTTTTAATCACGAGAATCTCAGAATCGAAATCACCCGAAGATCCACAACTGTGAATCGTTCCGAAGAGAGGGATAGAGAAAGAGAGAGAGAGAGAGAGAGAGAGAGAGAGAGAGAGAGAGAGAGAGAGAGAGAAATAACTCGGAAGTAATGGGAATAAAAGTTGGAGCACATCTCTCGGCGCTTCTCAGCGAGAGACGGCGTCGTCGCGCCGATTACTTACGGTGCACCTTCTTCTGGATAAATCTCAGCTTGCAGGCGGTGCGATACGACGCGAAACGAATGGTATCGAAGTTCTGCTGCCGCATCTCCTGCAGGAGCTGCAAACGGCTCGTCTCCCCGCTGCTCCCGTTTCCCGATCCGCCCGCACCTTCCTCCGCCATTTTCACTGCACACAGAATGAACGGATGATCCGGCGCCTCTTCCTCTTCTTCGTCGCGTACGTTCTTCCGCGCGCATTCCTTCGCGATCGCTCAGCCTCTGGTTTCGCAACGCGCGAATACGTGTAATCTCGAGCCAGTGCGACACAGAGAACGCGCGCGCGTGTCTCACCCTCCCTCCCTCTCTCTTTTTTCTCCTTTTTTTTCTAGGAGAATAGCAAATTTATGCGTCGCGCGAGAGGCCAGCGCGAATACACGCGAGGCGAAGGCCGCGCACGGTGATTAATCGTGGACTCGCCGGGGAACAGGCCAATTGACTCGCGCGCGAGTCTTTCGCGACTCTTAATGAGCGTACCGGTGCGTTCCGGAGCCGCGCGACTTCGCATCGGTGCAAACATTCAGTTATTAAACGGAGCAAATCAAACAGAATGGAATCACGCGCCTCTTGCTGGCATAAAGAGAAACACGCCGGTCGGTTAGAATTGAACGCACTGCGTCTTTCAGCAGCACAATCAGGAGCGCGTGCTCGCGTGTTCGCGCGTATACACGCACCGTGGAAAATTAGAGGCCGTGATTCCATTCAATTTCGTTGCGCAATCTCTCCCCCGGCCGTTTCGAAAGGCACCGGGGGGAGGGGGGGGGGGGGGGGGCCCCTTNGGGGGGGGGGGGGCGGTCCCTTTGAATTTCACGAAACTCACTCTCGGTATTCTGCGTGCGAACGCGGCGGCGACTGGCAAAGCCGCGTCTCTACTACATCGCAGCTGGTGTGAGAGACGTCACGCCGCGACGTTATTGCGAGAAGAGAACGGAGTTCGCCGTTGAGCTTAACGACAGGCCCCGGAAAGAGATGGAGCTAATTAGAGACTATTAGAGAGCACACGCAGAGAGATACTTCGACTGCCCCGTCGTCGTTACGACTTGGTGACGCGGTCAAACGAAACGACGATCGACGTCGATGCATGGCCGTTGTACCTTTACCCTTCCTCCTCGTCATTTTGTTTTCTTCGTACGTGGAGGACAACACTTCCGGGAAAAAGAGTTAACACTCGGAGGGGTCGTTCAACCACGGCGATATAACGGCCGCTTTATGTAAACGATCGACCCAGTTAGTAAACGTCAATATCCGACGATGTAATTCATTTAAAACCGGCCGATATTTCGCCTCGCACACACTCAAGTTCATCCTTTCAATAAGTTACTCGGCTGCCTCTCATCGAGACAATCGCGCTACGTCGCGTTGTAATCGACGTTCCAATTACGCGATTGTTCGGGACGGCTATTTGCGATACAATGATCGTAATTGAATTAACCCACTTACAAGCAACGGCGCCGTTTGCGGAACAGAAATCCCATCGCGAGCCGGGATGAATTTCGCGATAAATCATTCCTCCTTAAAAAGCTTTCAGAATCTCAGCTCTCGGGGATATTAAAAGTCCGTGGGAAAACATGTCGAAAATTTACGAGATTGCGGAGATAAAACGGATAAAACAATACCTCGTCTCCCGCCTCGGAAAGTTTACGCGCATCGCTAGCCGTCGTGTGCGGCTGCGAAAAGCGAGACGCAACTTTTCATCGACTACTCGCCTTAACCAACTCGAGTGAGGGAGAGAGACGTTTAAGAAATAAGAAAAAGGAAAAAAAAAAGACAATGACACGATTCGATTAACATTCTTCCTGCTCGAATTAAGAGCTTTAAGTCGGTTAAGAAAATTACTATGTGAATGCGAAACGATGCTCTTGGGAAGACAGGAGGGGGCCCCTAATTGGATGAACAAAATGTTACATACCGGATGCTAAACGTCAAACATGAACGCACATAGGAGCATAGAGCCGAGTATCGCGTCTAGACGCCGTTAATAATTGATCAGCACTTTGGCGGAACTAGCTGATCAGGAAGCAATGAGGGGATATCGGCCGATAGGTCCGACGGAATGAGGGAACTAAACGCGGATGTCTAAGTTTGAATCAATACGATAAGTGGGCCAGGTGGGGGAACGTAAGATCGGTCAAAGAAACGGGGGAACGGTCGGGAAGGGAACGCCGAGCGGGCTTGAAGGAACGCGCGAAATGGAGCGGCTAAAAGGCGCGGCCAACTTCGGCTCTCTCGTTGACAACGGGAGATCCTTATCCGACTGACAATACCGTTTCGGGGGGGGAG